TAGAATAAAGGGTAGCAAAGACATATAGGACAAGAAGTGCTGACATGATTTTTTTTTCTTAATTGAATGTTCTAATTTGACAAGAGACAAGAATCAAGACATTGCTACTTATTTAATAATGAATGCACTCCCCCCCAGTGTCTTATGATTTTGTTTTGTTCTGTCCTGTTTTGTTTTCATTAGAGCATGTATCAGTCCCTTCCAAATGAGAAAATTAAGGTCTTCAAAATATTTGAGCAGTTAGCCAGCATCAGAGTATAAAAGGGGGAATCCAGCTAATTAAAGTTAATAGTTTATGCATTCCTTTAGCCATCTTCCTAGGAGTATGGAAAGGAGATCATTTAAATTAGCACAAAGATTCTCAAAGGTCTATCTTTCTTGAAAGTTTCAGTCTCTTCAAAATAGAGCACAAACTAAGAGATGTTAACCTCTGAGTGTCAAGAATGATAGGAAGTACTATAAGTACTAATAAGGAAGTACTCATATCTCTTTTCCATCGAGGCTTCCACTCTGATCATCTGATCATCCACCTGGCTTAGCTGTTGCTTCAGACCTTTGCATTTGAGTCCCTTAAAGAAAGAAAAACCTCTCAGATGATCAAAGCATACAAAAAAAAAAAAAAAGAAATTAGCTAAATAAATAGATGTAAGGTGAAGCTAAATTTAAAGAATTCAATGAAACCCTACTCTCTACTTATAAGTTGTTTAATATATCAGCAATGAAGAATTAGAAACAGCAGAAGGTCAGGATGGAAGGTGAGATGGCTCTTACTGTCTGGAATTCAAATACTGGTGAGAGTAATTAGCAGAAAGAAGACAGAGGCAGGAGTTGGGGGAATAGGGAAGTGGTCCATGGCAAGTGGTAGCCTAGGAAGAGGATAAGGCGCACAGGGAGTTATGGATGTAGGGAAGCTGTCTGCAGAATGTTGCATCTACTCCCATCATCCTTGTGCACTACTTTGAGAAAGTAAGGAGCTGGGGTCACCACGACTTCATAGCAGAGAAATTTTCAGTCTCCCTTTTCTGTTGAGAAAACTCAGAATCAAGGCATTTATGCCAGTCTCTCCACAGTAAACACATTAGATGACATGGTCAGGGCTTTACTCCTTGGCAGCAGGGGTGAAAAAGAAGACAATAATGGTTTCATTATAGATCATTTATGCGGGTGCAGAAGTAGGTTTATTTTTAAAATAGGAAAAAAGAAGCACTTTTTTTGTTACTAGGATAAAAGAGAAAAATAAGTCAGTCAGTAGGAATGACAGGTTTTCCCCATTGTAGCCAAGCTTACTTCCTTCGTGAAATCACTGCCCGCCTCTTCACCACTCACTTAAGTGCTACGCAATTTCCAGGGATCAGTTCATACTCCAGGTACACAGTCAACAGTGTTCTGCTTCACTAACTCTATTCATGCTGACATCACAATGTTTTTTCATTAGCGTCTCAAACTTTGGCACAAATACTATTTGAGGAGCTACATACACCAGGAATATGTGACTTGTTTGCTCATTAAATTATGAAACATCTTGACAAAAGGAACTTTAGCTCTTCCTTTTCTACCTACAACAGAGGGCTGGGCATGAGGAACTACTGCCTTTTACTTAAAAAAAGAAAACACTTTACTATTATTTCAGATTCCCTTTGCATGTTAGACTTTCCATGCTTTATACCTTACAAAAATAACAATATTTTCATAAATACCCAATTTTATATATTCTAGAATGAGCATCCAGAAACAATTCTTTGGAAGACTTTTACCTTATACAATAGATATATTATTTCTCAATGGTTATAAAATAAAAGAACTAATTTTTTTTAATAATAAAGATTCAGTAGTGAAGTGAAATCACTACAGAAGGAGGTTCCCCAGAACAAGTGTGCTGTGATGAAGTTGGGTTAGCCTCAGGAGCATTGACAGAGAGACTGTGGATTAGAGCCAGTTGACAGAAAATCCATCAGTGACCATCTGATACTTACGAGGAAACAGGAATTGGCGGTGGTGGGAAATTCGGCTTTGTGATTAGCTGGTAAGAAGATAAAAGGAAAATCAGCTTGGAGTAGGTTCTTCAAGAGGTGTATGCATACTAAAAATGTTTAACTCATTTTCAGGGGCAGTGACGTTACAAACTCACCCACGAGGGTATTTTTAAACCCGTGAGTTTGATGCTTTCAGTTAGTTCCGAGGATATAATCTAGACATGTGTGACAATAAGGGTTACTGCGGGCTTAATTTGTGCATCCACACACATCATGTGTTAAAGCCCTAAACTCCAGTGTGATGCTTAGTTTTGGGGTATTCACACCTTGAGTTCGGAGTTGTCAGAATTGAATCAATGTCCTTAAGTGAAAAGATATAAAGAGATTATTGTATCTCTCCTTCCCTAAACTTCTCCACTCCCCCTTTCTTCTCTTTAGTTTTCCTTCCCCTCAATTAACAAACCAGGATGCAGCCCTCACCAGACACCAGGAACTCCCAGCTCCTCAAGCTTAGAATTCCCAGTCTCAGGAATGGGCAGAAATAAAGGTTTAATCTATATAGCCCATGCTATTTTTACTGCATCAACCTAGGCCAAACATGGATTCTACATAGCAGGTCAACTGTACTGCTTGGTACTTGCCAACTTAATATAAACCTAGATGTATCTGGGAAGAAAAAAAATCCCAGTAAATAAAATGCCTCTATAGGACTGGCCTGTAATAGGCAGGCCTGTGGAACACCATCTTGATCAATGATTGATGTGGGAGGAGCCAGCCCACTTTGGGAAGTGCCAATCCAGCCCACTATGGGCAGCGCCACCCCTGGGAAGCTAGTCCTGAGCTGTATAAGAAAGCAGGCTGAGCAAGCCAGGGAAAGCAATCCAGTTAGCAGCACTCTTCCATTGCTTCAGCTGCAGTTCCTGCCATGACTTGGACAGAAACACGCCCTTTCCTCCCCACACTGATGTTGGTCAAGATGTTTCGGCTCAGCAATAGAAACCCCAACTAAAGACGTGACTAGTCTACATTATCAGCTTTAGCGTCTCAGTTTAGGAATAAGTTCAGAAGTAAACTCATAGAAGGGTATATCCCCGCATTTAGCACTTTAAAGAAGTTTTGCGGAAGACTTTAAGTTAGGCATACAAATCTCAGCACTCTTACGATTCAGTAGTAGAGCACTGTGGGTTATGTCTGTCAGGAACATTTCCTTGAGATTGGATTGGGTGGAAGAGAAGAGAAGTTGCTAACTCACGACATCTGGTGGAGGCTCACTCTCCTCAGTGGGCACATCAGACACATGGAGCTTCTTCATCTGACTCATCTAAAATGAAGGAGCCAAACTTTACCATGAAACCACCAGTTGCCTCAGCACAGTTCTCAGGGAAGTAACACTTTCTCAGCACCTATGATGAGGATGAAGCTGACGCCCTGAGATAAGTAAGGCAGGAGCCAACCCAGCAGCCCAGTTGGACCATTTATAGGATTTCCTCAGGGTTACCAGGAATAACTTCCGTCACAAACATCAGCACTGATGCAGTGCTATCAATCTACTTCACTGAAAGCCCTAAACACAGAAGACATGACAAGGGCTGTAGGTGTTGGACATGTTACATAATATTACACAGTTGAACGTACAAATATACACATCATGTTGTGTGTAGAGAAATTCACCAGGAGTAAGAATAAACTTAGAGGCCAGAATGAAATTGACAGAATGAAAGGGAGGAGGGAAAGGGAAATGGATGAGAGGGGGGAACAGAAGAGGGAAGAGAGGAAAAAAGAAGACTTTATTCTTTTTGTATTTTATGAGTCCTTAATGCACATCTTTTTGTTTTGTTTTGTTTTGTTTTGTTAGGTTTCTTTTTGTGTTCACAAAACACGAGGGGAAGTTGACTGAATGTGTGGGCTCAGAACTCACAATCCTTGCAATTTGCTGATGTGAGGTAGATTTTTAAGCACTGCTATGCAAAACAAGAGACATATGGCTAGAATGTAAGAAGGGGGTAAATCATACACTCAGGTCGCCACAAAAAAAACAGTACAAACTGGAATTCACCTCCTGGGGTTGAACCACCTTCACCTTTGGGGGTTTACACTTCTGCTTGTATAGCCTGGCATCTGTGGCGGATGGTGGCCTGAAAGGAAAAACATGTGTGAACTGAACAGCACCTTCAGCACACCAGGGATACACAACAGAGGACAGATAATTTCCTTTGTCCACTGGGCCATGCTCTGTTATCAGTGTTCCTTCTGTTCCAGATCATTCCTCAGTGCTTAGCTGCAAGTTAACTACCATTATCTTGTGATTAATAACCATTACTAGACATTTCCTTTCTGTTTCTTGGCAAAACCCTGATCCTTAAGAATGATGGTATTAAGTTAATGTTTATTTATACCATGACATTTAACTACTTTTGATTCATTAAGTATTTACTTAAGAGTTGTTTTGTATGAATAAGTCTTTAAATAAGTCAGTCTTGGAAAGTGATGAGAACAGATCTTGTTTTAAAATGACGTTTGCAAAAGAAAAGATCTGCTTGCCAACCAAGCCTCAGCTACTCACTTTGGAAGAAAACAAAGGCCTTTCTTAACATTTGTGTTTTCCCCACACTCATTAAAAGTGAATTCCATAACCTTAGGAGACATAGAAACCACATTTCATCCAGAAAGTGGGAAGACTGCAGTAGCTTCATGAAGTCCTCTCACAGATTCAATGAGATGATGATTAAAAAAAGACCCTACACTGTGACCACTCTTTCAATCACTAAATGTGTTCTATTCTCATGTGAAAATATTTAACAAGGACCAATTTCACTCTGGGCATTAATTACAAAAATAGCCACTCACAGGAGGAAAGGATGAACATCTTGCTATGAAAGATTGTCCAGTCAAAGGGATACCTAGTATCTGGTCCATGAATACAGACCTGTATGTTTTTTTCCAATATTTGAAGAAAATTAAACCCGAAGGATTAATAGACTCCAGTGTCGAGTTAGAGGTTAAAGGACCCCCAAAGCACATGAAGGCTTACCTCTGAACTCTCTTCTGCTTCCTTCTAGCACTTTGGTGCCAGATCACTATAGCAACTACCACAAATATGACTGCCAGGGGGAAGAGCACACCAACCACAATGGAGAAGTCTACAACAGAGAGAGCACAGGAATGCTGTTGAGGACTGAGAAGTTTTTTGCCTCACTTTAGTCTGTCTCCTTTCCTCTTCAATTCCTTCCTTCCCTCCATCTATTCCTCTCCCCCTCCCTGCTTTCCTTTCTGCTTTTCCTTCTTTCCTCCCTTTCTTCCTCATTCCTTTCCCTCCCATCCTTTTTTCCTTTTCTTTCCATTTCAGAAAAGATACAGCCATGTAGCCCAGGCTGGCCTTATACTCATTATATAGCCCAGGCTGGTCTCAAACTTGCTGTGATTCTCCTGCCTCAAATTCCCATGTAACAGAATTACAATGAAATGTCATTTCACCTGGTCTGACATTTTTATTTGTCACAAATTTTAGCTAGCTTTTACCAAATAAACCTAGCTTCCTGGAAAGTCTCTCATAACTAGGTACCATGCTACCTGCCACCTCATTCCCCCATGTCCACTTGCCCACTGGGAAGGACCATATCCTCAAAACTGTAAGCCAGAAAAAACCCTTCCTTCCAAATGACACTTACCAAATATTTTGTCAAAGAATCAAACTAGCAGAGTTGGTTCAAAAAATGGTGTTTATCATGATTGTGGTGCTAATGTTTATGAAGAGCAAGTAAAAGAGAAATTCATAGGAAATCTTTCATAGGAAGTGGATTAAATGTCTTCTTACTGAGAACTCTGAGAAAGAAGAAGAGTAGCTTCAGTAACAGGAGAGTGAAGGCTGGAAGACTACATGAAGATATGGAGGATAAGAAGTATGGTAGAACAGGAACAAAGACATTTTAAATCCAGCCTTAGAATGAAATAAGAAAGAAATTAAAACCTTGAGATGCTATCGCTCCTACTGACAAACAGCAAGAGTAAAAAGCTGATAGAGACAATACTCATGCTTCACCTTTGTTCTTTACCCATTGGCCTAAGTAATAAATTCAACTTGGATCCTTTGCAATCTCATGTGTTTATTTCTCTTATAATCATCTGAAACCACCAGAGACCAGAAAGTACACATGTCTGAAGAACAGCATAGTCACTGCTTTTGGTACACAGTTTAGCAACCCAGTTACAAGAATAACAGTTCCAAAAATGCAAGAAAAGCTTACAGGTGTGGACAGATAACACACAGGCAGAGGCAGACATTCCAGAAAGCAGAATTCAAGATAAGAGAATGGTCTTTATTCAAATACCTAATTCTCTTCAACTTGCATAAAATTATTATTCAGTGAAGTCAAAGGAAAATAAAACTCTGCAGCATTTCTGCTAGATACAACTTAGCTTCAGAATTAGGGTGAGTGGCTACGTTTGAACTAACATTAGAATAATATAATAAGTATTTTAAGACCACCATTTCAAAGGACACAAATGGAATAGTGTTTACAAACACTTCAAGTCTTAGAGAACAAAGTTGTGGCTTGGGGTTAAAACAAACAAGACAGTGAATGTGCAGTTTAAGATAGAAATAATTAAACAGCAAGTATAGCTTCTTCTATTGTTGATAACAGCAGTCTTGAACAGCATACACCATGAAGCTTTTATAAAACAACTCCCTCAATCCATGAAAGTACTAAAGAATAGGGAAAAATTGTAGCTATTAATGTGGTAATAAGTATTTAGAAAAATATAAAGGAAGGAGAGCTATCTATCTTTAATGGTGTGACCCCTAGTAAGTCAACACACCCCACGGTAGGCCTACCTCTATTCACAGGACTAGATGGGGAAGAAGAGAAGAAGGTGGAAATGCCTGTAAGTTGGGTGGGTAGAGAAGTAAGGGTTGGGAGGTAAAACTGGGAAGAGCTTGGAGAGAGGAGCAAATACAATCAAAATGCGTTGTATGGGAGTCTCAACATATTAACACAAATATAATTTGAAGAAAATACAGAGAAGAAAATGATCCTAGAAAGAAGGTTCAGCTGTAGCTTCATGAGAGAGCACTTGCCTAGCATGCACAAAGTCCTGGGTGTAATCTCCAGGACTGACAAGAAAAAAGAGAAGCAGGAGGAAGAGGAGGACGACCAGTTTATAAACACAGAAAAGCAGATAGAGCAAAGGAACCAAGAGTAAACCCTAAGAGGAACTGTGCTTTAGATGACAATGGTGTCTCAGTATAGATTTATTGACTGTAAAATGCCTGACTCTACAGTGGGGGTTCAAGAATGTAAGAAAACCTCTGTATGTTGTGCTCGACGGAGATGTGTATATAAAACTATTCTAAAAGCAAAATCTACTTAAAAAGAAAAGTGAAAATTTTTAGGATAACAATAAAAGAATAAAAAGAATGCATACCCTCCAAATTAATAAAAGAAAACATGGTTAATAAAATGGACAGTTGGTTAATTGGCCCAACTTGAGACCTACTCCATGGTAGAGAGCCAGCCCCTGCACTAATAGTGGTACTCTGCTATGCATTCAGACAGGAGTCTAACTTGACTGTCGTCTGGGAGTATGTCTCTAGGCAACAGCCAATTGGCACAGATGCTGAGACTTGCAGCAAAGCTTTGGGTAGAACTCTGGGCATCCTGTGGAAGTGTTGGGGGAAAGATGGAAGAACCTGGATGGGCATATGAATCCCAACCTGGAAACAACTCTGATGTCCCTCAGTGTAGGAATGGATACAGAAATTGTGGTACATTTACACAATGGAATACTACTCAGCAATTAAAAACAAGGAAATCATGAAATTTGCAGGTAAATGGTGGGAACTAGAAAAGATAATTCTGAGTGAGATATCCCAGAAACAGAAAGATACACATGGTATATATTCACTTATAAGTGGATACTAGACATATAATATAGGATAAACCTACAAAAAAAATCTGTACACCTAAAGGAGGTGAGCTAGAAGGAGGATCCTGGGTAAGATGATCAATCCTCACTCAGAAAAGCAAACGGGACAGACATTGGAAGAAGGAGAAAACAGGAAACAGGACAGGAGCCTACCACAAAGGGCCTCTGAAAGATTCTACCCAGCAATGTATCAAAGCAGAAACTGAGACTCATAAACAAACTTTGGGCAGAGTAGAAGCAATCTTAGGAAAGAAGGGAGAGATAGTAAGACCTGGAGAGGACAGGAGCTCCACAAAAATAGCAATAGAACCAAAATATCTGGGCACAGGGTTGTTTTCTGAGACTGATATTCCAACCAAGGGCCATTCATGAATATAACATAGAACCCCTGCTCTGAGGTAGCCCATGGCAGCTCAGTATCCAAGAGGGTTCCCTAGTAAGGGGAACAGGGACTGTCTCTGACATTAACTCAGTGCCTGGTTCTTTGACCTCCTCCCCCGGATGGGGGAGCAGCCTTGCCAGGCCACAGAGGAAGACAATGCAGCCAGTTCTGATGAGACCTGATAAGCCAGGGTCAGATGGAAGGGGAGGAAGTGGACTTGGAGAGGGGTATAGGAGGAGATAAGAGAAGGAGGGACAGTGGGATTGGGAGGGGAGGGGGGAAGAAGCTATAGCTGGGGATACAAAGTAAATAAACTGTAATTAATATAAAAATTAAAATTTAAGTTAATAAAAAGAAGACCGACAAAAACAACTAACCCAGTCCCATGGGGTCTTTCAGAGACTGAGACATCAACAAAGGAGCATGCACGATCTGGACCTAGGTCCTCTGCATACATGTAGCTGATGGCAGACTTGGTCTTCATATAGGGCTCCTGACAAAAGGGGAGAGGGTGTTTCTAACATAGACTCTATTGTATCACTTCCCCCTAGCAGCACTACCTTGCATGGCCTTAGGGGATGAAGACATGCTCAGTTCTGGTGTGACATGATGTGCTTGGGGAAGGTTAATACTGGGAGAGGGGGACTTCTCTTTTCTGGGGGAAAAGGGAGAGGGAAAGGGGGAAGGAGGGGAAGTGTGAGCTACTGGGAGGAGGGAAGGGGCACCTTCGGATGTAAAGCAAATAAAATAGTATAAAATTTAAAGATATAAATAAAACAAAAAAAATAGCGCTCAAAAAAAAAAAAAAGAGTAAAAACAAGCCGAGGTGAGGCAAGACGCATAGAAACTGTACAACATAGTTAAGGAATTGTGCCCCAGAACATTAATAATTTGTTTTCCATCTTAATTTTGAAAAATAAAGCTAAACCCAAAGGTATGTGAAATATAAAGAATTTTAAAACCGCATGTTTTTCTTGAAAGATAAAAGTTTCAAGAGGATTCAGAAAGAATGACTATAAATGTGAAGGTGTTGTAGCAACACAAACACATAAAGGGTTATGCCTCAGCCATTCTAGTCTCTAGGAACTGTAGACTTTGAGAGTCAAGAGGCAATAGAGGTAGACAGCATCAATGATGACAGTATAAATCCACTACGAAAACATAGCCATTCTAGATGTGAACACAAATAACCAATCAGAAATTCACTGGCAATACCAAGTCATAATATAAAATTTCAGTCAAAGGTTTATTTTATTTTATTTTATTTTATTTTATTTTATTTTATTTTATTTTATTTTATCTTATCTTATCTTATTTATGCATGAGTGTGTGCATGTCTACACATGCGCCATGTGAATGTAGTGCCTGGAGAGGCCAGAAGAGGGTGACAGATGCCATAGAGCTGGAGTTTCAGATGGTTGTGAGCTATCTTGTGAGTGCTAGGAATCAAGCCAGTATCCCCTGTAAAAGCAGCAAGTGATCTTGACAAATACAGCTTTAGAGTGTTTTTTTTTTTTTTTTTTAAGATTCTACACAGTCACTAATAAAACAGAGAAAATAAACTATTAGTTGGAATTGTATAGGAGCAATGGTACCGACCAACCTGGCACACAGGACATACATAGCCACAGGAGCACATGGTGCAAAATTCATGTTAACACTTTTTTTTTTCTGTTCCTACACAGAATACCTGCACACATCTGATTATGTGCCATCAAGTAAGTGTCAACGGATTTTACCATACACTCCATGTAATATAGTCTCTGATTGCCATATAATTATTCTAAGCATTAACTAGAAAAATTCCCATCTTCTTACATGTTAGGAAGCAGAAAGTTGAAGGATGCTGGTCAGGGGTGGGGGGCGGCAGACAATGGGATATGCTATAGTCAGCTACAGATGAGCACTGGTGTAATTCACACTATGGGCAGGTTAGGCAGAAATTCACCACACAGGTGGAAATCTGGCAAAGGGATTTAAGGGAACCTTTTACCACACAGAAATAATAAATGTTCTTCACTGTACTTTTTCTGACAATGCACGTACGCAGCATGTTTACAGTCTTGCAGATATTATGGCTCATTTGCTATGCATAAGAGGTTAGTTTTACTCATGCTTCTCGAGACTTTGATTGAGTCTAGTGAAGTTGAAACATGTCCTCCACCTTTATAGAAACTAGAATCTGTTCAGAGACTTTTGCTAGGACAAGAGTCCAATTATAAGAAGTAGCTTATATATCCTATATTTAATTATTTAAAAGCTATTTGTCACGCTGGAAAAAAATACTTATACACTTATGTCTCCAAACCAAACTTTCCTACCCACAGACCCAAAATGATTCACTAGAAAAGAATTCATGCAGAGTGACTGTACAAACTTCACTGAATAAATTTGAAATATTCCAATAGAAATCAGGAAAAAGGAACAGCAGACTATAAAATAAAATAGAATTTTCTCAACCCCCACCCCTCAAAAAAGAAGAAGCTGGGCATAGTGGCACATGCCTTTAATCTCAGCATTCAAAGAGGCAGAGGCAAGTGGACTGCTGTGAATTAAAAACCAGCCTGGTCTACAGAGCAAGGACCAGACAGTCAAAGCTACATAGAGAAATCCTTTCTCAAAAACAAACAAACAAAACAAAGATAAATGTTTGAAGAAACAGTTTACACTGACTTCAAAGTTGCAAAATGTAAACAAGTACCAAAGTATCACCTGGTATCTATTTCTGTGGATTCCATGCGAACAGAATATAAATGGAAATGCTTAGTGACATAAATAAATGCTCTTCAATGCAGTTTAGAAAGTTGGGTGAACACAGTCTTCCTGAAAGATTACTCACAGGCTTAGCAAATTTTACCGTCCTAAGTTGTTTATTGGGCATGAGTTTTACAAACAGTTACAGAAGTTAGTTTTACTTGTGCTTTTAGAGTCTCGGATCAAGTTTCCGAAACATCACTTATATTAAGGGTGATCTTGGAGCCACAGACTGCTGTTTCTTCTCGGAGCTGAGCAATAAGAACTACCCACTGAATGGTGGAGCTTATGACCCCTTCCCAAGGCCGGAGCTCTTGCAGCCTACAGGGGTCAGCCCACCATTCTCTGTGCTTGTGGATGGCTTTGGTGATCCACTGAGGTCAGTATTTCTTCTTATCTTTATGGAATGGATCGATGAGGAGGTTAATGTCAGATTTGTATGTGGAATCCTCACCAACCCAGAAAGGATTCAGAACTCCCGTAGTTTAATATACACATAAAAAATAAAGGTTTTGAGAAGAGCAAAGTCACGTTTAACGTTAACTCAGGAAAAATTGGAACCATCAAAAAGTCTAATTAAATAGTTGATTCTGTTCTGAATCAACTCTTCAACCTCACCCCAAGCATGATAATCACAGATAAAAATGTATTGAATAATAATATTATATAACCTTAAAAAGTAATGAAGTTTAGAATCTCCAGGAAGATAGGAAGTAAAGGAATTTGGGCAAACAGAAAGCAAGTTGAAGCCTAAACAGTAAAATTAAATGTGATTCTTTTGTTTGAAATGCCTAAAAAGCATCTGAACTTGAGAACACTGGTTCATTCAGGCCCATCCCTAACCACATCTCCATTTCTATCTTCTGTAAATACAGAATAATACTGGTTCATTAACCCTGGGACAGAGCTTCAAGAATGTCTCCCTAGACACACTAGGGCTTGGCACAGGAGTACCCAATGCTGGACAAATCTGCCTCCAGACAACCACTCAGAACCATGCAAAGAAAGAAGTTCAAGGAGGGAGCTTAAGAAAAAAAATGAGGGCGGGACAGATAGTTCAAAGGTTAAGAGCACTGGCTGCTCTTCCAAAGGTCCTGAGTTCAATTTCCAGCAACCACATGGTGGCACATTAGAACCCTCTGTAATGTGATCTGAGGCCCTCTTCTGGTGTTCAGGCAGAACACTGTATAAATAATAAATAAATCTATAAAAAAAAGTCTGATCTTAAAAGAGAGAGAGAGAGAGAATTCATAAAAAGCTCTCTCCTGCACTTAGAGTATTCTTCATGATGGCAATGGGCAGCAGAAGTTCCCACTCTGGCTCATTCCCTCCTTTATGACCAAGCAAAAGACCTGCCTCTTACCCAGAGCCTTATCTTCTACCCAAAGAAGTGTCAGTAGAAGCAACACACACTCCAAAGTGCAAGGAAAACCCATGTGGGCCAGTCAATCAGCCTATCTGCTGGTCTAACAAAGACAACACATCCCAAAGAAAGTGAGTCCAGTGAAATGTAGACAGCATGTGAATGATCGGGACAGCCCACTTCAAATTAAAAGAAATAACTCAGATCCCTGTCACGTTCTCAGAGAGTCACATGAGTTAAAATTGATAAAACAGGGTCAAATGAAAGGGGAGGAGGTCCTCCCCTATCAGTAGACTTGGAAAGGGGCAGGGAGGAGACCAGGGAGGGAGTGCAAGGTTGGGGAGGGAATGATGAGGGAGTGGGATACAGCTAGGACACAGAGTTAACAAAATGTAACTAAAAAGAAAAATAAAATTAAAAAAAATTACTTAATATTGTGTCTACTGTGGAAATGGAAAAAAAAAACAGAAAGCAAGAAAACCTGGTGTGAAAGTAATATTACAAATGAAAAGTTTGAAGGGGTCATTTTGGATGAAGATTGACAATATTAGAGTGTTGAAAATATGCTTTGAATGTTGGTTGCTAAGGAGACTTTGGGAATGAATATCATGCGATCCATAGCTGAAGGACAGTAATTTGATGAGGATAGAAAACAGACCATAAACCCTACATAACATAGTAAATTAACCCTGTCAAGTTGAGAGATCTGGGATCATCCAGAAGACAAATCTCTAGAAGTATCTGTGAGGAAGTATTTAGGTTAAATTAAAGTAGGTAGGAGAACCTAGGCTAAATGTAGGCAGAACCATTTCTTGGGTTAGAAATATATCTGAAATTAATGTTTTTATCTATCCCTCTCCCCAGGGCTCAGTGATCTATGCAGAAGACGAGGCAAAAGACAGTAAAGGCGGTAGATGACTCCAAGGAAATGGGACCATCCAGACACAACAGAACTGACACAAATGAACGCAACCTGCATACATTCAAGAGAGACAAAATCCCAGCCGAGAGAAGAGAAAGCAGAGAAAGATTAAGCAATGTCCCACTCCTAACCAAGAAGCTATTTGTAATTGATTGTCTACTGGGAAAGGGAAAGTCAGTTTTCTCAAGTGGAGTTTCATTGGGGCATAATAATCATACTGTAGGACAGACCTCATGTCCAGGGGTAGTTGCTCAACACAAGATAGATTCCATGAGGTTTTGTGCAGTTTTTGTTGTGGTAATCTTTGTATTATTTGTGTTTTGCTGTATTCTTTATGATTTTGAGAGAGAGAGAACATGAAGGGTGGGTAGGGAGGTAGAGAGGATCTAAGAGAGGCTTGGGTGGGGAAAGAATGCAACCAAATGCGTTCTATGAAACAAATTGTAATGAAATAGTATTAAAAAAAAGAGGCAAAGAGGTGAGCAGCAGAGTTCATTTTTCTGTTTCCTCACTGTGGATTCAATGTGAGCCACTGTCTCATGCTTTTCCTATCCCCATGATCTCCCCAAATTAAGCCTGGCATTTCTTTTTCTGGTGGGTATTTTTTTTTTTTATCACAGTAGCAGGAAAGTAACTGAGACAAACACATAGGAAGATCTTATGGTGGGTTTTTGGTGGATATTTTTTTTTATCACAGTAGCAGGAAAGTAACTGAGACAAACACATGGGAAGATCTTGCCAGAAGGGGATAGTTTCTCAGGCCAGACATGCATTGTTACCTACGGAAGACTGTAGCAGAATCCTCGCAGTCAGGAGGGGCCCATCCTTCCTTGCATTGACACTGGAGCTCATGGTTACACACCTGGTGGAAGAAAGACGCTGTGAGTGTCACCATGAAACGTAGTACACCCTTCAAGGCCCCCTTCCTCCATGATGAAGTTGATTTTGCCATGAGGGAGACCCTTGCTCTGCTGGCTTCCACCTGCCCACATGTGGTATGGATGACCCACAAGGATTTCAGTAGCGGATTCTCAGAGGCAGCTTTTCCCATGCCATTTGCTTCTGAGTGTCAGATAAGCGCAAGGACTGTGACCACTGAGTGCTGAAGGTGGTCTTTCTGCTGCGTCACAGCAGAACTAAAATTGCATAAGGCTCAGCAAACCAGGGATACCTGTTTCCCAAACTTACTGCATGCCCCTGGCACTTCGAGGAGCAGTTGGCCGACTTGTACGTTTTCTCCATGTCCACACACTTTGCATTAATGCACACCTGAAATGATGTGTAAAAGTAAGCTTCACAAAGCATCGCCAGTGGCTCCATCTCTGTCAACAACTGGCTGGAACTGAGTCTTAAATCTTTCATCAGTTCTGTCCCTAGTCTCGTCTTTTTTTTAAAGAACTTTTTATTAGTGCTTTGTCCCTTGAGAATTTCCTACGTGTTTTGATCATATTTATTCTCCTGATTCTTCCCAGGTCCAGCCTCTTTCCTACCCACTCAACTTTGCGTCTTTAAAACAAAACAAAACAAATAAACAAAAAATCGGGACTAATTTGTGCTCTGCAAATATTCTTAGATACATGACTTTCTACAGGAGTGTGCTCAACTTTCCAGGGAATTTGTTTTAGAGAAAATTGACACTTCCATGCAGTAGCTACCAAATTCCAGTGGTACCTCATAGAGGTGAGGCTCTGTAGCTACCTTCCCCCTATCTCTTGGAATTTTTCTTGGCTAGAACTTACACAGGTCTTACACAGGTCTTTCATGATGTCGTAATAGCTTTGAGTTCACATGTGCAGATATCCTGCTATGTTGATTTAAAATTTACTGTTACTGTTTTTATCCATTTGCCTGTGGTAGTGCTGGCAGAGGCCAGAAGGGAGTGTGAGATTCTCTGGAAATGGAGTTACATGCAGTTGTGAGCTGTATGGGTGCTGGGAACCAAACCTGGATCCTATACAATAACTTGTTTTAGTTCTATACATTTACATTGCAAAAATTTTGTGCTTTCATTTTTCTTTACAGCTAATAATTATTTTATACATGCAGCATCATTCCTATCCTTTCATCTGTTGATATACATCCATGTTTATTCCATTTCCTAGCAATTGCGCATAGAGTGGCAATTGGCATGGGTGTTTAAGTGTCTCTATAGAAGGATATAAATTTCTTTTGTGTATATGTGGTGTCGTTGGTTCAATTTCCTGAACAAGACCAATATAAGATCAAACCAGCCAAAATTTTTTGCACAGATGATTTCTAAGCCCTGCCCTTTAATAAAGAGCTATTGGCAAATGATGGCTACTGGAGAGTAGAGAAAATTTTCTTCTTTGAGTGTGATAACTGGTAGGCTTCATGCTCCAATGGATGTTTTTACACCTTGCACACATGAGAAGGAGAAGGAGGATGAAGGTGAGGGGGATGAAAATGATGTTATAAGAAGAAGTGGTGGAAAGGATATTGGGAGAGTTGAAGGGAGAAATAGGGTTTTATCTGATCACAATTGACTATACACATGTCTGAAAGTCTCAAATAATAATAATAAAAAAAGAATGTCCTAACCAAATATTTATAAAGTTTGAGAGCATGATTCTAAAACATGCTGGGCACTTAGTGAATGCTATCAGAGGGACGGGTGCAGGGATGAATAAATGAAAGGCAAAAAAGGATGTTGTGAGCTTCGTGCTCCAAGGAAGACAGGAGATGGTCACAAGTGTGGAGGGTGGCGCTGTTCTCGTTCTTTCCTTACACTTGAGCTTCCTGGTATGATTGTACTTGAAAAAATGCTCCGTTAAAAGCAAAAGGGAAACTTCGAACAGGAAAGATCCAAATGTATTGACGTAAAGTTCAAGGGCCATTGCTAATTTGACTTGTTTGACATACTTGAAAGATGGCTACAGACACCTGACCTTATTAATGGAATAGGTATTTCTGTGTTTCCTGGGCTGACCAAGTTCTTTCTTGTCTTAGAATGAGCTCAAAGGAACATAAGCCAACCGTGTTACTTCCCTGTCCTTTGTCACGTACACTACAAGTAACTGGGTGATAAAACTCTGCACAACGAAAACTCATGCCATGTTGGTGGTCATGTGATCCCTCAGAGGAAACTTCCCTCTTCTTAAGAAAAGGTGCGCAAAGGACAGTCTTATGTACCCTGCTTCTGCCATGCTGGATGAGCATAAATGGCAGATCAGCGTGTTGGAGATGGCAGAGGGCAAGGTGAGACAACTTTGGTCCTTGATGGTGGCATTCCATCACCAAGCTCACCATGCAAATTGTTGCATCTCTGAACTTACCACTGTGTGAGTTAACAATTGCCCTAATTGTTCCAGTCTCTTTTAGTTTTTCTTTTGTTCCTCGATAACCTATATCATCCTAGCAGCATGTGGGACTATGGTTACAGAAATCGTAATAAACAGTATTGAGTAAAAATCGAGGTAGTCTGTGGGATAATGAATTTTGGAAGCACAATTTCAACTTGCCTTTTTATTTCCACACTTGGTTCCATTGGCCACCATGTCTACTCCTAGACTGGTGTCTTCAGGATCAAATAATTTACATGTCAGGAAAGACACTGTAAGTCCTTTCCAGGGCAGATCACGTGACCCGCCTTCACAGAACAACTTCCCACACATGGCATCTCTACAAAGGACAACAGATTACAAATGTTATCCTAGAATTCAAATTTCAGTTTTATGCAAATGCACACCAGCCTTGGCTATTAATATTTAATGAATAATATTTCTCCTATAGCAGTGACTTCTAGTTACACCTATGTACAGTGTCCTTATTCTGTATTAACAGGACTCTCAGATATTATCAAAAGTGTTGTTTCTCAAATACAGATCCATTCACAATTTATTTTTCCAATTGTGTAAGTTATTGCTAATGGGGGAAGAGCAGAACCTTAAACCTAAATTGTAGAAGTGGCTTTGAATAAGGAAGCATGCCCCATTGCTGGGCATTTCCCCCCCTCAGTTTTGATGATAATTAGTTTTTGTCAACTTGACCCAAACCAGAGTCAGCTAGGAAGAGAGAACCTTAGTTGAGAAATTGTTCTTCAGACTGGTTTGTGGGCATAACTGTGGGGTAGTTTCTTGATTAATTATTGATGTAGGAGGGCCCAGCTTCACTCTGGACAGTGCCATTTTACAGGTAGTGTTAGGATGTATAAGAAAGCAAACTGAGCAAGTCACAGGGAATGAGACAATAATTAAAACTCCCCCATGGCCTCTGCCTCTGTTCCCGCTCTGACTTGCCTCAGAGATGGACTGTGACATAGAAGGTTAAGCCATACAAATCCATTTGTCCAATAGTTGCTTTTGGTCAGGGAGCTTCATCACAGAAATAGAAAGCAAATTAGGACTAAATGTGATAGAAGGAGCTGGTGAAGCCATCGCTGACTAAGAGAAGTGCTTGGGGATGGAGTTAGAAGATATAAAAAAAGCAGATCTCTGATCTCACAAAGGTACTTAGACAGCATTTATTTTTATTTTTGTTATTGTACTTTCCTCAGATAAACTCTAAAAGATAAAAAGCCTCAGCTTTCCACAACAGAATGATCTACTCAAAGCCAGAAGTCTCCTGACGTTTCCAAGCATTAACTGTGATCCTCAGAGTTGTCCATCCAAATCTGCAGAGTGAACTGCTCAACACCCAGGGACGCCATTAAACAAGCACCAGAAAAATGTAAGAAAGGCCAAAGCCAATAAATCCATAGTCAATTGCTTTATGCACAATTTAGAGAAGGTTGGTGAACATATAATCCAGAAGCAAGAGAATGCGACTTTTCTGTTCTTGCTCAGGATTAGAGAAGATACGGATGGAAAACTTAGGAGGATGCCACTGTTCTGAACTTTGCTTTTCAGGAATCAGACAGTGATTCAGAACAAACCTGTAAAGATGGTGCCGGCACAGGAAATGTGGAGATAACTGCCCACCACAGGCAGTGAGTACTAGGTGGCCAGGTAGTGTAAGAAGGAGGATGAAATGTCTGAGCATCACGTTAGTCATTATCTTCTGTTAACACAGTTATAAAGGTAAAAAGGACACTCACAGGTGATACAGAAGGGATGGAGAGTCCCTACACTTTCCTATTCACACCCAATGTATGGTTTTGCTGAGCCCTGTGTATTGCCTTTTCTGTAAGTGTTTTATTTTTGAATCTGCTCTGAGTCCCTATAAAGGAAAGGTCACACTATACAGTTTGTCCTTGAGGTCCAGATCCCTTCAATGAGTCTCTACATCACAACTAATTTTTTTGGTTTTGTTTTGTTCTGTTTGTTTTTCAAGACAGGGTTTCTCTGTGTAACAGAGCCTTGGCTTTCCTAGTCTTAAAGTTACAGAATAAAAACGTATACAAAAATCTAAAGTTCATCTGGTATGGTTTTTATTCTTTTTTTTTCAGGCTCTCAATACTGATATTAAAATGAGTTCTTTGGGTGAATTGCTGTTCACTTTTCTGAGTATAGTCTTTCTCATGCAAATGTCATGACAAATTTAAATATAATTATATATGTCCTCTAGTTTATTTTATTTTTGTGTGTATGAATGTTCTGCCTGCATGTATATATGTGTACCACTTGAATGCTGGGTGCCCAAGGAAGCCGGAAGAGGACTCAAGTCCCCTCTGGAACTGTAGTTACGGGTCTTTGGAAATCCCCATGTGGACGCTTGGAATTGAACCTAGGTTTTCTGTGAAAGCCACCACTGCTCTCAATTTCTCAACTATCTCTCCAGCCTGGAAATCACTTTCTCTTGAAATAGAATAAACCAGCAAATGTAGGAGGAAATTTGCCATTGTTCTGGTGGGGATTAATGAGAGGAGATTCAAACAATATGGCCACTTACTTAGCTTTGCAGGGCATATGTGTGCTGTTCTCTATGTGACAGTAGCCATATCTTGACCCTCCTTCATTCTGCTGGTAACATGACTTATTTGCAACCTTGGTTCCTGGGATTAGGTACAGATGAAAGCAGTATATTTGAAGAAAAAAATAGAGAAGAAATGTAATAGTATGGAGTATTAACAAAATATAAAGTTAGCATTAGAAGTATAGACCGAATATCCCTTGTTCAAAATCCTTGAGACTGGAAATGATTTGGATAGCACTTTTTTTTTTAAATAATTTGAGTCTTTTTTTTTTTCTTTTTAGTTACATTTTGTTAACTCTGTGTCCCAGCTGTATCCTGCTCCCTCATTCCCTCCCCAACCCCACACTCCCTCCCTGGTCTCCTCCCTGCCCCTTTCCAAGTCCACTGATAGGGGAGGACCTCCTCCCCTTTCATTTGACCCTGTTTTATCAGGTATCTTCAGGGCTGGCTGCAAAGTCCTCCTCTGTGGCCTAACAGACTGCTCCTCCCCGGGGTGGGGAGGGGGTCAAACAGCCTGCCCTTGAGATCCTGTTAGAAATAGTCCGTATTCCCCTTACTTTGGAAAACTACTTGGTTACTGAGCTACCACGGGCCACATCCGAGCAGAAGTTCTAGGTTATATCCATAGATGGTCCTTGGTTGAGTGTCAATCTCAGAAAAGACCCTGTGCCCAGATATGTTTGGTCCTTGTAGAGCTCCTATCCTTTCCATATCATACTAACTTCCCTTCTTTCATATGATTCCCTGCACTCTGCCGAGGGTTTGGTTATGAGTCTTAGTGTCTGCTTTGAAACACTGCTAGGTAGAGTCTTTCAGATGCCTTTTGTGGTAGACTCCTGTCATAAGTTCAATGCACATCCCATTTGTCTTTCTAAATGAGGATTAATCACCTTCGCCTGTGTCCACTTTCTTGATTATCTTCAAATATATCTTGCGATAGCTACAGAATAGGACCCAACCCCAAATATAAAATTATTTTTCTGTTTTATATAGACTTTAAACACAAAGCTTCTACTCATTATATAGTATACCACAACACTATAACTCATAGGTTTGATGAGATATTTAAATATATAATAAATATGTTATATTTGATATATAAGTAAGCCATTACTTATATATTGGGCCTGTTCAGTAGTAGGTGGGCAATGAATATTAGCTGTTCTTACTGTCTTCTTCAGGTTATCAATAAGGAAGTGGAAACTCAACCCAAGTCACACAGAACAATACCTAAGCCAGATTCACTCACCTCTCCAAAGTTAAAGCCAGCCCCATGCCATGACTATAAGCTTTCTCACTCAAAGAGGAATAATGTTTAAACACTGGCAAGCCTTAGGTAAACCTCTGATGGAGAATTAACAAAAGTAAAACCAACAAAAATTTATAATGAGTTTGTTTTGTTTTCAAGAACAACTGTAATATTTATTTATAAACTTGCAATATTTAATGAATTTCATGTTTTAATAGTCAAGATGATAAAAACATTTATGACTGTATTTCCTGTATTATTTGGATCTTAGTAACATTATAACAAAACTCGTAAACAAGCAAAACATCACAATCAAAATCCGTAACTTCTGGGTTACTAATTCTAATATTTTTGAAAGTATCATTTATGTACCTACCATCTGGCACCTTCGTAGCTACCTTTGCTCAACCAGTAACATCCCTGTGCTTTCTTCAGACCTTAAGCATTCTACCATACAAGAGAAGCAGGGCTGGCATTAGATTAATGCACTGTCATTTGTCCGATCCATCTTTATTCTTTGATTTTAAATTCCTCTTCAATTATTTATTGCCATAAAAATGGTGGAAGAAAAATTCTCATTGATAAATGTTTCTAAAATCAGCAACTAGGGAAAAAGAGGGCAAAGCGGTATCTTTGGCTGTGTGTCTAGTTTTCCAAATTTTCACCTCTGTAAACATTTCACTAATCCATACTTTGCCAACAATGTGTGGCGTTAAGTGAACGACCTGTCCCATCTTTCCTAACACCTGCAGCGGGTCTTTGCCAGCTCACAAATGCAGAAGGTCAAAGATTCATTCATGTTCATTAATACTTACAGTAGAGATACGGAGTGAAGACAGTTTTAGTTTTTATTGGTTGGACATTTTCATTTGTTTTCTATTAAGAAATATATGCTCATATCATAATCACATTTTCAGTTTGGTGAGTTTTGATTTGCAGGAATATCTCGAGGCTAAAAATGTGATCTTTTATTATGAAATCATGTTCAGACTTTTTCAGATTAATTTAAAATAAATGTTTTTTTTTATGAATCACAGAGTTTGAAGACAAATCTGCTTTTCTAGTATTTTATAGTGGCTACCATTGAATAAAAAAGTTAATGGTCTTCTCCATCCCTTATCCAATAAATATACCTGATATTAATTCAACAGATAATTTTCATATCAACTAAGTCAGGCACTGAAAAGGAACTATGGATAAAACATAGTAGATCCCTGGATGAGGGGGTAACAATACTTGGAATAGAGTCAGTTAGAAGAATAATAAATAATAATAAATAATAAAACTAAACACAACGATACTCATGTATTTCTAGGTAATAGAGAGGCATGGTGAGTTTTGTTTATGCATGTAGGGTTTTCTTATCTTGGGTTTCTGTCATCTAAGGAAGCTAAGCAAGAATACATGAGATTAACCAGAGAAGCAGGTTTGTTAGTACCTTTAAGTTTAGAATACCAGCTCTCGGGAAGTGTCCGCAGGATGGCTAAAGCCAAACTCCAGTACACGGGGGCACCTCTAGATGGCTTAAAGGCATTGCTCCTTGGAATGTATCTTACCCAGCAAGTCTATACTTGCTGGGTATACAGGAGCTTATCCAGAATTATTTACAGGATCTTGTGGTGTCTTATTTTTCTGGATATTTTGTAGATAACAGATTTTTTTTTTTAATTTCTGTCCTCAGATTTGATTGAAGTGTATCTTTAGGAATTATGAGAAATTTCTGGCATGCAATGACATTCTTGAAATAGTATTAGGAATATTTAACTTCACCTATTCTTTACCAAACATTCTCTGTGCCATTTAAGTAGGAGGCTGGAAGCATGGAGAGTCAGGCCACAGCGAATCAATACATGGCAGTGTACCCTTGTCATTCAGGAGGGACAAATGACTGTTTTCTTTTTAAATGTTGCTTTCTTTCATTTTGTAAAATTCTGTAACCTTTGATCAATGGCTCCCTATTTCCTACCTATACCCCGATAAGCAGTTTGATACCATTTCTTTCTAGGATTTCAACTTTTTTTTAATAGATTTTACATAGGCCTGAGCACACTTGTACACTCTAACGTTGACTTTCTAATTGAGCTTTTGTATGAAGTTTAAATTTGGGTGTAATGTTTTCAGCTGTCTTTACGTCACACTTTATTTTAAAGCCCATGTTATGATTTCCTTAGTGTGGTCACTAATCTTCCAGTGGACAAAAGTGATCCTGGAAAGGTTCTCAAGCATCTTCAGTGCTATTTTGCCATTTTCAGGGTCTCTACTTATTTGTCCCCAGTTGGGCTTATGGCCTATTCACTAACACCACTGTCACTCCTGTGTGTACAGATGAACTTGAAATTTAAAAAAAAAAAATTGAAAAGCATGTCTCAAACAGTGAGAGCATCAACAGATATTAAAACAAGAAATTGTCAGTCTGAAAGAAAAATTTCATTAGCCTTATCTCTATTTGATACCTCTAATATTTTAGTCTTAAAATGCCCTTGTCCAGCTTGATACCTCCACTTCCTGTGTCTGAGGTGTGTGGTGTCCGCAGCAATGGGATGTTACCTTCAAGTTCGGGTAGGCAGTCAAGGGTAGTGACAATGGCCTGTGATAGGGGCCAGGTCTATGGGATGCCTGTGAGCTACAGTTCAAGAGAGGTTTCTGTAAATGGTCACCAGGGCATTTCTTAAATAGTCTAAGGCTCCTGGAAGCAAGTGTTATCACTCAGTGTTACATAATTACACACAGAAACACATATTTAAGTGAGATTATACAAGACGTGTCCCTATATCCTAGAATCCTTCTTCAGAGGCATCAGAAAGTGCTTTGCAAACTGCCAAGGGAGAATAGTTCCACACAGCTGTTACTCTTTGACCACAATGATCAGCCCAACAAGATTTATCCCAGGGTGCAATAGTGGCATTTATATCTTGGAGCTAACCATCAGCTATCTAATTAAACTTAATAACTAGTACGATGCAGGGAAGTTATGCCTGGTACTCCCAGTAATCCATGGCTGGAGAGCTCATAGACACTAGGGGAGAAATTACTATTACCATTTATTCTAAATCAATACAGCCCCTAACTTTATTCTAAACACTTATCCATATACCCCCAAATGACTGTAGCTCTCACCTTTGTATCAAAGTAGCTTTATTATTATTATTATTATTATTATTATTTTTGCAACAGATAGAGATGGAAATATGATCAAATATGGCCAAAATGCAGAGAACACATGACCATGGATCCCCATCCTAGTTACCACAGCCACAACGCAGCCCCACACCTCAGGCTCTGGAAACATGGATATGATGTAAGAGCCAGAAGACCAAGGTGTCTGCTGCAAGGTAGTGTCTCCTAGAGATGACCCCATGAAACCTTAACCATGCCATCACCTAAACAAGGCCTGCATGGTGATCATACCATTCAAAACACAATAGGAATAGGAGACTCCACAAGATCCCACCCCTAGATGAAAAATCGCAAGAGCCAATAGCTGTGGAGAAAGAGAGAATAAGCTTTTACCACATCTGAGCACCCTGATAAGTTATGCAAATCCCAAATGGTCAGCTCTAAACACAGGTATATGTATGAGCAACACTAAATGGACTCAGGAGGTGTGTGTGTGTGTGTGTGTGTGGTGTTGTTGTTGTTGTTGTAGCAATAATAATTATAGGAAAAAAGGTCATGAATCTGAGTGTGTTGGGGGAGAGGGAGGAGTTAGATAAAGGAAGAGATGGAATTGTAGTAAATACAGTGTACTTATGGATGAAACTTTCCAATTAAAACTTTAAAATTTACTTATTTATAATTTTGAGAAGTGACACAATTTCCAGAAAGAATGGGACAGTTTGGTCCTTTGGCCAAGGACCATCCCACCATCACTGGGATGATGTAGACATGGAGAGGAATTTGCTCCCGTGACACTTATCCTCATTGCCAACCTGATGGGTGTGGGAATCACTATGGAAACACACTTCTGCGAAAATGTATGAAGGTGTTTCCAGAAATGTTTAACTGAGGAGGGAAAGCCAACCTTGAGTCTGGGTGGCATCATCCAAGAGCTGTAGTCTTAGACTGCCTAAAAAAGGAAAAGCTGAACTGAGCACGGCTCATCTTCTTCTGCTTCCTGGTTGGGGAGACAATATAACCAACTTCCTCAATCACCCCTGACTTCTGAAACTAGGAGCCAAAATTAACCTTCCTTTTGTTAAGTCTCTTTAAGTTTCTTTTGTCACAGCAGCAAGGAAAGTACCTAATACAGCTCCTTACCTGGGCCCCACATGTCCAGGCACTGCTGCTGCAGGGTGGGACAGCGGCCCTTCAAGCAGTAACCGTGCCCATTTTGGCAAGGGAAACCATTGACTCTGAATCTGTCAACAGGACAGTGGCTGGATTTACCATCACACATTTCAGGCAGATCACACTCATCTTTTGCCATTCTGCACACAACCCCAGGCTTTTTAAACTGCAAGGAAACAAAAATAGAAGGTATGTGCCATCCTGCCCTTTGTTCTGATCTTTTAGCACAAACAATCTATTTGGTCTTCTGGGACATAATTTTACTGTGATTTATTTTCGCACTGCACCCATATCATGTCACCTGTGTTGATGCTGGCCAATTCTCTATGAGTCTTTAAACAATTAATATTTTGAATTTGCAAGACAAATACTAAAAGAACTTAAGTGAAAATAAGAGGCATGCTAGGCAATGTCTCAGATGGAAAGCAGGGAGTTGGATCTCTCCCTTTGTTGAATGCTTCTTTGTCATGATTTAAGTCTGCAACTTTAGGATTTGCTAGTGAAGTGAAAGGGAGACAGCTTTGCAAACACCAGATCTGCATACCTCAAGACTTTCCCAGGCATCAAGTTTCCTCAGTCCTTTTCATTGCAGATTCGGCATTTCTTGTCAATTCTTGCTATGGAATGTTTTATGTGAACAAAGAAATAACCAAGTGCCCTCTGGCTACATGAAATCTTTTGCAAAAGTACTGTACATTTTGCCCTTACTTCCTTAGAGCAATGATAAAATGAACTCCTCTGACACTTCAGCAAATCAGAGGAGGCTCGTCATTTACTAGTTGTATGAGTAGGCCCAGGCCATCTCAAGCATCAAACAAATTCCACCTGTTTTAATGCCAGTTACAGGCTAGACCATGCTGCAGCCAGAGGAGTTTACGGAGACTCCAAATGTAGTTCCCACGTTCCAAGCAGCTTGGTTCTCTTACCAGGAACCACACCAAGTCCCTTCTTTGCTCCTCTTTCTTACCATTTAGGCATTCTTTCTTTTCTAAGTCTGTAAATCTAAAATCAATTCACTCTGTTTCCCAGAAAGCAAAAATAGTCCTTTCACATGAAGCGTTCTCTGATCCCTCCAATGTAGACTTCTGCTCTTTTTATTTTCTCCATGTAGTGAGGGTAATTTAGATCTAAATAATGTGGTTTTAAATTTGGGCTCTGACTGAAGATGGGAAAAGCCCCACTCAATTCAAAATACTTTTCTGACAGATCCGTCAATACAGGTAGATGCGATCAGTTCATGTGATGTGGTCAAAGGAGGCCAGCAGAAGAGACAAACTACCTAGGGCCTTGGAGTTGGTCATGTTTGCTCATGTTGTTTGCCTACTAAATAGTGACTTTTTTTAATTTCTTAAAAAAATTATACTGTGTGAATTTAAGGTAAACAACTGCCAGTTGATAGTCATTAGCCAACAGCCTTCCATTTTCCCACCACTGATGATTCATGGCTTTCCTCTGTGGTCCGCACAGTCAACTCTTTTTTTTTTTTTTTAATGGAGCTCCATGCATTCCTGTTTGGCTTAACATAATCACTAAAACATTAATATAGAAAATAATCAAAAGTATAAAAATGGTACACATGCATCTTACTCGACATTTCTCACAGCATTCTCCCAGGGCACACTGGAAACCTGCTTTAATTTTACAGGTCTTTGCGTCACAGCATTTGTTGGTACACTCCTAGAAAACATCAGCCACAGATGAAAGCGGTATGTTATTTTAGTAAAATTCATAATCAGGTTTATTTGTCACATGTTCACATTACTCTGTAGCATTTAAAATTCTCCTTCATTACACTAAAGGTAACCCAAGGCATTAGGAGGAGTTTGGACAGCTGGTGGCTTGCTTTTATCTGACTTCTTCTTATACATATTTTACTGGGCATTTTCTTCTTATCCCTTTAAACAAATATGTTTTCCTCAGGTACTTCATATGAATGTTAATAGTTTTTATTTTCTTGATAAAATATGAGGAAAAACAAAAGGAAATCATAGTTTTCAGAAAAATCCAACTTAATTAAGCCAATGCATTAGCTATGCTTCCGTCTCATCTTCAACTCAATTCCATCCTCAATAGAGATCCTGAATGTTATTAATTTGGTCTTCGACATGCTTTCTTTGGCCATTAATTCAGTTCTGCCATGTATCCCAAGAATATCTACTAATGTGGGTCAGCACATTTTTAAGGGACATCGTATTGCAATGTCAAATGGCTGGTCTCCCATGAAAGCAGTATAATTTCTTTTGGTCTTGGCTTTTTGTTTTTGAGAGATCCAAACCTTTTCTGCACAGCTGCTGGAGAACTTAGAACCTTGGGCAACTTCCATTACACCTGTCATGATTCCTATTGATAAGCAAGACCTCAAGAGTTACAAAATTTTACCTAGAACCTCAGGCAACTTTATCTTTCTTTCTTTCTTTCTTTCTTTCTTTCTTTCTTTCTTTCTTTCTTTCTTTCTTTCTTTCTTTTTTATTTATTATGTATCCCAATTGAAGTCCCTTCCCTCAATTCCTCCCAGTCCCACCCTCTCTCCCTTGTCCCCCATATCCCCTTCCCCTAGTCCACTGAAAGGGGGAATTCTCCTCTGCCATTTGCCCATATATAGTTTATCAAGTCTCATCAGGACTTCCTGGATCCTCTTCCTCTGTTGCCTGGCAAGGCTGCATCTTCAGGGGCAAACGATCAAAGAGCGGGCAACCGAGTTCATGACAGAGTCAGCCTCTGCTCCCCTTAATCAAGGGCCTACAGGGAGACTAAGCTGCCAATCAGCTATATCTGAGCAGGGAGTCTTGGCCCTCTCTATGCATAGTCCTTGGTTGGTGCATCAATCCTTGCATGACCCACTGGGTTCAGATTTTTTAGCTTTGTTGGTCTCCTTGTGGGGCTCCTGTCCCCTCAGTGTCCTTCTATCCCCTGCTTCTTCCATAAGACTCCCTGTGCTCTGCCCAAAGTTTGGTTGTGAGTCTCTGCATCTACTTCAATCCCTTGCTGGTTGGAATCTTTTAGAGGACATCTGTGGCAGACTCCCATCCTGTTCCCTCTCTTCTACCATTTCCAGTGTCTATCCCATTTTCCCTTCTGTATGAGAATTAAGCATCTTCCCTAAGCTACTCCTTCTTGTTTAGCTTCTTTAGGTCTGTAGATTTTAGTATGGCTATCTATACCTTGCATGACTTTCTGTTTCTGGGTTACCTCACTCAGGATGATCTTTTCTAGTTCTATCCATTTGCCTGCAAAATTCATGATTTCCTTGTTTTTAATAGCTGAGTAGCATTCCATTGTGTAAATGTGCCATAATTTTGGTATCCATTCTAGGTTGTTTCCGGATTCTGGCTATTTCAAATAAAGCTGCTATGTATATAGTTGAGCAAATGTCCTTGTTGAAAGGTTGGGCACATTTTTGGATATATGCCCAGGAGTGGTATAGCTGGATTTTGAGGTAGTGCTATTTCCAATTTTCTGAGAAAGTGTTCAGGCAACTTTCATCTTGCACCTGTCAAGATTCCTATTGAAAAGCTAGATTTTAAGCATTATGATGTTTATGGAGTTAAAACTACTACCCTTCATTTAAATATCAGCATCATCAGGGGAAGAGCATCTTTGCAGACAGACCAAATAAAGCTTTAATCTTATTCTAAGGTCATTGCAAAGCCAACCCCCAGAAGGAATCCATCCATCACTCCTGCTAAGTGCAATAAAAGGGGTTAGGGCAGAACCCTATTTACATTTGGCTGGCCTGTGAATCAGATGCAATCAGGACAGACACTGTGATGTCAACAACTTCTGAGTCTTGACAGATATGGGGTGTATAACATGGTAATCCCTTCTGAAAGTGGGTGTGGGAGTCAGTAAACAAGACCTGGGTCTAGATTTTGACTCTTGCTCTGGTCAGGTTGTGAGTTTAGGGAAGCAAATGATTGACACGCTGTAAATACCGCCATAGCACTACACCTAAAGTGACACTCACGGGTCCACAGTTGCTTGGGCTACCTGAATAATTACAAACAGAATGCTAGGGATGAAGACCCCAAAGTCCGTTATTGGCAAAGGATGCCACAAAGTCAGGATGAAAATTAATCTAGTGAGGACGATAAAGAAATATTAAACGCTGCAAACCCTCTCATACTAGCCTGAAAAATACTTCCCTATTAAAAGCGCCCCCCCCCGCAAAGGTTCAGTTTTACGTTGGACCACATAATCTTGTATGCTTTGTGTTCTTAGCTAGGATTACCTTGGGGGTCCCGCAGTCACAGTCCTCACTCATTTCTACTACCTGGTTCCCGCAGACTGGGGTGGATATGATGTCTGAAGGCGATGGGATATTAAAGAGGCAGTGGGATGATTTGTCTTGAAGAAACTGCTCGTAGTTGACACGGCTGCAGGAGCTGAAGTCTGTAGGCATATGGAACCTATGTAGATAGAGAGGAAGAACAGCCAGAACAATCATGCTTTCCCCAGGGGAAGTAATGGCCCATATCAGCTACAATGATACTTCTAAATGACCCCAGAGATCAGATCCAATGCACTGACCAATGCGCTAAGATATGAGGACATCAACCTTTCCGAATTCACCCATTTGTGTGTTTATAAATATCTCAGCTTAATGGGGAAACATGACTGTTCTCAACCTGTAGCATGCAGACCACTTCTACTGAGAACAAAAACCACTTTTGGCCTGCTCTTTTCATCTTTCTAATCCCTGGGCTATTTTGGAATAACAGAATCGTATTTACATATTTATTCATAGAGCTAAGCATTCATAGCCTCTTAGATAAGTATCAATTGACATTCTTTTCCTCTCATAAATGAAGGTGAGGTTTAAGCATGAAATAATATCTGGGAGAAATAACACAAACTGCAACTGGAGGGAAGCCAGATATTTTGGGTAGAAGGAGCATGAAAAAAAATAACCTAATAGTGTGAGCAGATAGGTGAGAACAGAAAAGAGGAACTGTGTGTGTGTGTCTCTCTGTGTGTGTGTGTAGAGAAAGAGGATAAGAATGTGATTTATTCAAGATAAGCTTGCTTAGAAAATTTCCCACCAAGACAGGGATATAAATATCTTTTCATTTTTTTTCCCATGAGAAATTCTTTCATTCTTTTCCCCCCTTTTATTGAAAAATATATTTTCCTTCTTTTCTCTTTCTTCTCTTTTATTTAAAATAGTTTTTCCCTTACATAATATATTCAATATGGTCTGATTATGGTTTCTCTTGCTTCTCCTAGTTCCTCTCCACCTTCCCTCCTAGGCAGATACCCTCCCCTTTCTGTCTTTCATTAGAAAATAACAGGTTTCTAAGAGATAATATTAAAATATAACCAAATAAAATATGATAAAGCAAAAACTATCACATCAAGTTGGACTAGACAAACTGACAGAAAGAAAAGAGCCCAAAAGAAGGCGCAAGAATCATGGACCCATTTGTTTGCACACTGGGGAATTACATAAAAACACCAAACTGGAAACCAAAATCTATATGCAGAGGACTTGGGTGTAGACCCATGCAGGATGTGTGCATATTGCTCCACTCTGTGAATTCAGAGGAGCTTTGTTCATGCTGATCTAAAGAGCCTTGTTTTCTTGGTGTCTTCTACCCTCTCTGGCTCTAACTCCCTGTCTCCTCTTCCATGGGTTCCCAGAGCTCTGAGAGGAGGAATTGGATTCCATTGAGGGCTGAATGTTCCAAGATTTCTCACTATGTGTCTGGCCATAAGGTCTCTTTATATGTTCCCCTCTGCTGCAGAAGGAAGTTTCTCTGATGATGGCTAATTATATTTGTCTTTCTAAATCAGAGTTACCTCATTCAAGATGATTTATTTTTCCTAGTTCCATTGCTTTGACTGTAAATTTCATGATGTCTTTTATTCCTAGCATTTAAAAGATGTTTATTTTTTTATTTATTATAATTTATTCATTTTCTATCCCAACTGTAGCCCCCTCCCTCACTCCCTCCCAATCTACCCTCCCTCCCTCATCTCCTCCCAAGCCCTTTTCCAAGTCCACTGTTAGACTTGGAAGATCTTCCAAGATCTTCCTCCCCTTCCCTCTGACCCTAGCCTATCAGGTCTCATCAGGACTGGCTGCATTGTCTTTCTCTGTGGCCTGGTAAGGCTGCTCTTCCCCCCCTCAGGGCTAGGTGATCAAAGAGCCAGTCCCTGAATTCATGTCAGAGACAGTCTCTGTTTCCCTTACTTGGGAACCCACTTGGAGACTGAGCTGCCATGGGCTACATCTGAACAGGGGTTCTAGGTTATCTCCATGAATGGTCCCTGGTTGGAGTATCAGTCTCAGAAAAGACCCCTGGACATAGACTTCTGTTGCTCTCCATGTGGAGCTCCTGTCCCCTCCAGGTCTTTCATCTCCCCCTTCTTTCATAAGATTCCTGTACTCTGCCCAAAGTTTGGGTATGAGTCTCAGCAACTGCTTTAATATCCTGCTGGGTAGAGTCTGTCAAAGGTCCTCTGTGTTATGTTCCTGTCCTGTTCCCTGTTTTCTCCATTTTCTGAGGTCTTTTTTTTTAACAGCTGAGAAAGATCTCATAGTATAAATGTACCACGTTTTCTCAATTTATTCTTCTGATGAGGGACATCATCAAATTTTTCTTCAAACCCTCATTATTTGTAATCACCCATTCTAAGTATAAGGAAAACTTGGCAAAAATCTAAGTATATTTCGGTGCCATGTGCCATGTGCCATGTAGGTAACACAAGATAAAATGATGAGCTGTCCCAACTTCAAAGAGAAAAATGTGTTTCTAGTATAACAAGATTTTTAAAATTCAGTACAGGGTTTGGAAAGTTGGCTCAGCACTTAAGATCACCCCTGGCTGCTCTTCCAGAGTATCCTGGCTTGACAGTAAACACTTACATGGCAGCTCACAACCATCTGTAATTCCTGTCTTAGGAAATATAATGCCCTCTTCTGGTCTCTAACGGCACCACATAGAAGTTGTACACAGATGTACATGCAGACAAAAACAACCATACACATGTAAATAAATAATTTATATATGTGTGTGTATGTGTGTAGGTAAGCTGATATATCACAGACCCACCATCAAAAGCATCAAATACTAAATTACTTATTAATTAGATAGAATTGAGTAAAATCAATGAACTTTTAAAACTTACAGCAATGTTTGGTGGCCAATACCAATTAGCTTTGTGAATGGTTTATCTGCTGTTGCCTACCCAGCATTCATAGGGAAGTGTCACCAAGGCTGTTGTCACTGTGCCTGAGTCCAGAGCTGAGAACCTCTGTGAGCTGTTTGTTACTCCAGGAGTACAACTAGTGCTTTGGGGGTCCCACTGCTTCATGGTGACTCCTAAAACCTGGGTTATCCCTTGCTTTTGGATTGCTTTTCCATACAAACCTTTGTCCTTGTGACACTTTTCTTTGCTTATTATTGGGTGACATGTATATCAAAGTCACAAAAATGTAACCTTGCCAATTTTACTAAAATTCTTCTAATTCTAAGACATAAAATCTTGAGCAAGTTGTTGAGTATGACCCTGAGGTTAGTACCGATCGATCACAGTACATCAAAACCGGGGACACACAGCATGGCCCCAACACCCTCACCTTAGTGACTGCTCCATTACACAGACTTCAGATGGACACTTGCAACTCACGTAGTCATGGATCATGCCGAGGTTGTGGCCCATTTCATGGGCCATTGTCCCTGCGACTCGAAGATGGTAGTTACTGTGGTCCTATTGGAAATGACAGGAAAAATGGCATGTGCTTCTCATACTGACACACTTTTCCTGGTATTGAGTTCCCCTGAAGATCTCCCTCTCTCCCTCTCTCTCTCTCTCTCTCTCTCTCTCTCTCTCTC